AGTCTTGATGAGATCATTTTTGCCGCTTTAAAAGTTTATGTTTGCATTAACATTAACATATCTGTGTTGTTGGAATATCATTCCTTTTTAAAGGAGTAACATCCAGACTTTTTGTGATGTTAAAAATTTATGACATCGTAAAAATGGAAGTACGCTCATCTGCTATGCCGCAATGTCTCTTGTACAAATGTGACGCCCCAATAAGAAAACCCAAGTGAATTTTAAAACATCGAACAATTTTGTGCACATTGAGTTCGCGACACTGATTTCTATGAATGGATAGGAATTGCTTGATAACGACAGATTTGTATGGTTTCGATTTAATCGAGCCTGTTGATGTTATTTTTCCGAGTCTGATCTAAAATCAAATCGACACAAAATACAACTTCTTATAGCCAGTCCATTCGGCCATGATTCGTGATCACTGGACGATAACTTTTACTAAAAGATAAACGTGTCTGAATCATTCGTTCATTAATTCGAATCACTCATTCATACGTCACCAGTCGTTTATTGGCGTTATCCCACCGACGTAGGGTTGGTGCACAGGGTTTCAGAAACTTTAAGGTTTTGGCTTAATTTTTTAGGGCCGGCCATTCACCAACCCTACGTGGGGGGCGCGATTTATTGTATATGTATTAGAAATTTTAATGTAACAAAACGTTTATCAGAGATTTTTATGGGAACAAAGCGTAAAAAGATCTTAACCGAATGCGTCATTATACTTTGTCTGCAAAGCCTTTGTGGAGACAATAACTCAGTTCGCAATCCATTAGGACGTGACCAAATGACGCAGAAAGTTGACTTATGGTCGCTACGACTTGCTTCATACAAGAACATCTGATAATACTACGCCTCACAGACTTGTTTTATGCCCCAATAAATACCAAACAAATGATTTTAATGTCTTTTCATTGATTAAAATAAATAAGCCTTATATTCAGATAACAATTTTACATAATTTCTCACATTTTAAGAAACAAGTATGAAATGTCTAGTCTAGTCTAGTCCTGCTAGGTACCGGCCTCCTCCAATTATTACTGTATTTTGGATTATCTTATATATTCCTTGTTAATTATTAAAATACTCGTAGTTATAGTAATTTTGAAACACAATTTTTTCCGATTCGATTTATAAATCTTGTTAGTTTCTTATTAGTATTAAATTTCTCAAAACTATCTTCCAAAAACTGAACGTTTAGAAGGTACAAAACGCACATACGTACGTTAATTAAAAAAAATGTTTTTTCCTGTCGCAGGTATTAAAATCAAGAATCATTCACAAGGAGAACTATTAGGACTTACTATCACTCTGAGACAGGTAACTATAACAGCTCCTCAGTGTAGATTTCTCTGTGTAAATAAGCGTACAACTCTGGTGTTTATATCAAATAAATTATGTCAAAATTCACATTTTATTTTACGCCTAAAATTGAGTATAATTAATCATTAAACAAAACAAGACACAGAATGTTATTCTTATTCAGAGTAATCGGCTTCAAGTGTAATTAGCGGAAAATTTTAAACTTTTCCCTTGTTTCGTCATGTTTATTTTGTGTACCGCTTACGAAGAAAAGCTAACGATTTCTCAGAACAGGCTCAAAGATATACGGAAATTGTTATTTTAAATTACATCTTATTTTTTAATTTATTTTATATGCAATGGTTTCAAAAGTTTTACTAAAAATAAAACTTGATATAGCCTGTTTTATTTTGATGCGATAAAACAAATCCAAAAGATATCTGGCCGATGAGTATTTGCTTTGTCAGCGAGCGCTTTGTTGAAGCGAACACTGAGAACGCAATCCATTACGACTGGACAAATGACGTGGAAAGTTGACTTGTACATTTGTAAGTCTTTTGTAAGAAGGGATTCGTAGTACGTTAAACGTGCAACAATAACAAACTTTGTTTATATTCTTATTTGCAACTAACTTGCAAGTTTTTATGCTTTTTTTTAAAGTGTCTTTACCAACTAAATTTACAATTTTTTAGTTAAATCTCATAAGTATAAACATATCATACAATTACATCACAAAATCGATATTTTTGCGCAATTCAAATTATTATAAACATAAAAGTTAATAGAAATTGAGATTAAGTCCTCCTAATCAAGTCGAATATAACTTATTTATAACTAGCTGTCACCTGTAACTTCGTCCGTAGAATTGAAAATAATAATTAGTAGCCTGTGTTTTCTTCTAGACTATATTCTACATCTACGCCAAATTTCAGCGAGATGTAGCCGTTCTGAAGATACCTTCAAACAAACATTCAGCCGTTCTAACTTTTGGATTTATATTAGTAAGATTATATTATTAGTATGGAATGTAATTAACTAGACAGTTATCCAGTACACAATTGAATGACGTAAGTTAGTGGCTATCAGATAGTTTTGTTTGTTCTCAGTTGTTTGCCGACTACAAACATTCTTCACCGGATATTACCCATTGGCCGGATGTGTAGGAACTCTGTTAGATCTGCCTTTATTACAAGACTAGATAATAAATCTTGTTGTTTACGTCCCTTTAATCTATTCTCCTAACTTTTGCTTTACATTAGCTACTTTGTTCTGAAGGTAAATATTAATTATAGGCATTATGTATCGACAAGTAACAACTGAAAAACATTAAATTGTAGTCGTCTGTGTCAGAACTAATGTATAAATATAAAAAGCAGCTCCAAAAGTCTGTTAACTAAATGTGTGTTATAAATGTCGTTTTAATTTATTTTTTGCCATTTGCCAGTGTTTCCGCGCAACACTAGCCTTATTAAAATATCAACGCTTATGTCCCCTCACTAATCAATTGGACACTTGACTCAGTAACGAAAGCGCACCATTCGCGCCAAACGATTCTGACTAATAAAGTCTAAAAATAAAAAGAGCTATCACTTAATGTTTAACGTAACAATGTAAAGTATATTACGGTAACAACATTCCGACACTTTAATAGTTGGCTTCAGCTCTGGTTGAGCAACAGACGTCGGTCCCGTCGTCGGCTATATTTCCTCGGAGACACCTGCGAAGCCGGAATAATAAAGAGCCTTACAACGTCTCAAAATGGCACTTTTTCTCGCAATTCAACCGCAATGTGCACTTAAGGGATTTGAATAACTTATATGTCGGATTTTATCTATTCCACGCAACTCCCAAAACGTACCCGAACCGAATTTCAGCACGAAGTTTTAAATCTTCGAAATTATTATTCGCACAAATTATTTCTGAATTTATAATTAAAACTAGTTCAGTACGCGCGGATTAAAAAAAATTAATGAGTAGTCTATGTGTTGTTCCAGATTAGTTTCTCGACTGTTCCAAATTTCATCAAGATCCGTTGAGACGTTCCGGAGATACCGTCAAACAAACATTCACCTATCCATCCAAACATTCGTATAATATTAGTAAGATAATTAAGTAACATTAATAGCAATACTTATAATACTTTTTTTTTAGAAATTACACGCATTGATACCATTATTATTGTGCCATCACATTGCGCCAATAGCTAAATGGTTGGGGGTATGGATTTTTGAATACGTAGCCGCGAGTTCGAATCCCATTTCTTACCATAAGCCTACAGCTTTGTTGAAATGGTTACAAGAAAATTCAATAAATTTGAAAATAATATGCTAATATTTAATTAAAAAAATAACATGAATAGCATCAAGAGAAAGATAAAATTCGTTTTTTACCTGAAATAAACATAATCCTATTTTTAATCTAAAATCCTCGTAACATCGTAGAAACTCGGAGACGCCATCCATCTTGGCTAATGTCCAAAAGTCAATTACCGAAAACTGACTTTTAGATAACTTCTACAATTATTTTCGTATAATCTAGGCACACCTAACGAGTGTTCCGAGGATTTTAACGACCTGACATAGTTCGGCAATTAAGCATCGTTTAGGTTATCCTGTTAGTCTTGAGAGATAAATGTATTCGTTGGTACTTGGTAAATAAATCTATGGTAACCTCAGTATGATTGTTTATTATAAATTTAGTTATACATTCAACTTATTTAAGCACAAATAAAAGAAATACTGTAAAAGTAGATAAAGGGTCCCAACACACTATGTTGAGAAACTTTAGTAATCGCTTAAATTATTTATCTTTTTTGTTCAATTGCCTTACTTACCGCGGGTGTCCGAGATCAAATGCTCTGTCCCTATGCAGGACCAATTTTATAGGCATTAAACAGATATAACGAAATGTTTCGGAAATTAATTTACTATTGTATTAATCGATTTCGACACAGTTATCGAAGTAGTGTCAATTTAAAGGATGTTCTTGGTGATAGAAATCTTTATTTATTAACTTTTTGGGTTGTTATACATAATTCCAAGGTCCACCACTTATTTGGTAAATCGCAGTAATAACTAAGGTGTTTTAATGAATGTTAATGATCACGACATTAACTAATTCAGAGAGCATAATAAGGAGTGTATCGACCCGCCCGGGACCGCAACAGCCAGATTTACTGCCGACGCCGCGTGTCGCTAATGTCTACAACTCTTACCTAACTCCGCTAACTTAGAATAACCATAACTGTAATAAATCCGAGGATAAAGTTGTTAACGTAATC